GTCGGATGTAAACATTGCCACGGAGCGATTTAATGTTGTAGACTACACCGACAGCGCACGGCACGTACAGCTCTCTGTCTGTACACTTCGTCTTCTTGTCCTCCGTCTTTTGTGTGTGTGTGTGTGTGTGTGTGCGTGTGTGTGTGTGTGTGTTTTTTTTTTTTGCGCTGTTTTACTTTTTTGTTAAACGTACCACCAACTTGCCCAACTTTCCACCATATTACAAAGTCGTTTACTGCGTGAAAGCAGTCTTCTTTTTTTTGTATGACTATTCCTTCAAACTTATGTCTCGTCTCTCGGCTTAGAAACGTTATCAAGGCGTAGAGTTGCGCGTGATATTTAATGTTGAATAGAGTAATGTAATAAATGGCCAAATAGATAGCAGCTTGCTGTCTTCTGATAACTTTCACATGCCTCTGCGTTTTACCGGACATTTCTTTTTATTTGATCATCTGTTCTCAGAATAAAACGAACCGATGTCGGATTACCGTATCCAAATGTATTTCAATGTTATTTCACAGAATATTTAGATGCTTTTACAAATTACGTGTACTTTAAACGGGAACTCGAAGCTTTGATCTACCTATCATAACTACATCGTTCTGCTATGCGTGTGTTGTGCACTTCGTATAATCACGAACGTGCTTCATACCGAGGCTTCGGGTACTTTGAGACACGGAATAATAGTATTATTATATTATTATCATTCTTATTATTGTGTCATTCCGCTTTCGATGTAGCAACCGGGTCCAGATGCCGGCAGATTGGAGACACAGCGATCGGTCTTCTTCACGGTCGAAACATTCGCGGTTCTCGTGGTTGTTGCAATTACGAGAACCGCGGTCACATTTGCTACACAGCAAATGGGACCATGCGAATGTTGTAGGGTGTCTCTAAAAGTCGTGATATTTGTGTTTTCAAGGCACTAGTTAACTTACCCGTCAGGACATTACAGCAAAGCATAAGGCCACATCTCTGTCTGATAAGCCAGCACTATACCGACCTCGGAACAAAGGCCCCTCTCTTTTTGTGAAAATATAGTATATATAAGGGCTCAGTGAATTCCATGGTTGAACGGCTTGTGTGCTATTTCATTCGCAGTACAAGATCCATAACCGAGGCCTTCTGGTCAAGACGGGCATTGTACTCAGCGTCGTCATCCTGCTTTTTTTTCTCCAGAGTTTTCCCAACCTTCACCTAAGCCTGGGTGAGTACTGCACCGCTTCTTGGGCTATTCATAAAACAATAGAACAAGGAAAAAAAAAAAGCAACGTCGCTTCACTTAAACAAAATAAACATGGTCAAATTCGGTCCGTCTAGAGGGCTTGCATGTGGCACATGTTGCAAAAATGTTCCTAAGCCTGGATTCGTAATGATAAAGCAACTATACTAACTTGACATAACAATATTACCTATTTAATTATATGTTTCGCCTCCCATGAGGGAGACATCATCAGCGCGTGTTCACGGACACGAATGGTGCGATGGTAAATGGATGGATGGATGGATGAATGAACACGGCTGAATTTTCCTACAATATGGGCGGCGGCTTGCGCCACCTAACCGGCGTTTTCCGCTTAAAGAAGGCGCCCAGTGGCAGGTATACTTACTCTGGAAGGACGTCCCCATGTTGAGGGAAGCTAGTAAGTGTCGTCTGCTGCGTTGCCTGTACCCTTTATAACGGAAATAAGTTGCGCCACCTAACCTAGAAACCAAAAGTATGATTTTTCCTCCTCGACAGTCTCCTTCCCCTCTATCTTATTGTAACTATCACCAGGCAATGTGGGATAGTGCCAGGAGGACTCTATTACTAGACACCCAGTGTTGCTAACACAGCTCGGCAATTCTGCACCTCGAGCGAAGACTCTCTTTGCGGACAGTTATTATCAGCTGAAATCTCGCCGCTCCCTATTACGACACGAAAGAGAGAAGACGGCATCAGCGTTGTACGATGTTTTCTCTAGACCTTGTCTTCCTAGCACGAATAGTTCTATGAATTTGACACCAGACGCCACCTTCAAAGGCAAATTATGGACGTCTGCAAGCAGCCACGCGTCAAAAGCTAGTCTGGTCACCATGAATGAAAACGTTTGGGCGATAGACTGGCAACCGTGGGCACTACTTGGCAAGCTTTAACTTAGAGCCACAAAATAAGCTACGCCTTGGGGTATTTGCACCCCAATTCCCCGATTTTCTTGTGGGAACCGCCATTTTTATGCTTGTATTCGAAAATGCGACTTTCTGCGCTTTCGACTCGGTGTCAGGAAGCTCGGGCGATATCGTTTTGCTCTGTCGCGAACTGTTTTAACAGGAGAAGACCCTTTTCCACGATTCCATAAAGCTTCAGATGATTGGCAACCATGATCGTAAGCACATAGACGGCGGAAGTGTCTCTGAAGCTTATTTAGTGGCTTTGGCTTGACTGTCAGGTGGTTCACTTACGCCAGCATCAAGCTGGGGGTGCCATCTTGGACGTCGTCGCTTTCAGTACGGGCGAAAACGTTGTTTTGCCGGCGCCACATTAATAGAAGACATTAAGGATAAAAGTGTAACCGTCACCCGTTGTTGTCTCACCTGACAGCTGTTCTCTACTATTTGCAGGTTATTTTTTTGTTTTTTTCATACCGGATATTTTTACCCTGCAGTAGATAGAGGATGAGAGTAAACGAACCCTGCGTACGACAAAGTTTCAACCTTTTGGTCTCCGCGGTTTCCAGGCTGGATCGCCATCTTGGGCGCCCTTCTGCTCCTGGTCCTGGCGGACCTGGACGACCTCGAAGCCATCATGGCGCGCGTCGAGTGGACGACGCTAGTCTTCTTCGCCGCCCTCTTCGTGGTTATGGAGGCCCTGGGCGAACTCCAGCTCATCTGGTTCATCGGCCAGCGGACCCAGGCCTGGATCAGCGCGCTCCATCCGCAGTCCCAGCTCCCGATCGCCATCTTGATCGTGACCTGGGTGTCTGCCCTGGCCTCCAGTCTGATGGACAATATCCCCTTCACCACGGCCATGGTGAAGATCGTCGCCGGCCTGGGGCCCATGGACTCCCGGCCTCTCGTGTACGCCCTGGCGTGGGGCGCTTGCTTGGGCGGGAACGGCACGCTGATTGGCGCGTCGGCCAACGTGGTATGCGCCGGAGTCGCCGAGCAGCACGGACACCGCTTCACCTTCTTCGACTTTTTCAAGTGAGAGCGCGTCGACGGCAAGAGCGCCTGTCTGTCCAGGTCTGTCTGTCCCGGTCTGTAGAGCAGACGTAATTTTTCTTTTTCTAACGGAAGGTTATATCGTTTTACGGTTCACACACTGTTCACAGATCGTACAAAAGACACCTTGTTCGCTGCAGACAGGATGACAGAGGTGCCTGCGGACGCGTCTCGAGCATGTTCCAAGCATGTTTGTTTCATACATGCGCATGAACATGTCTGCAGCTATTTTATGACCCAGGTTACAGGACGCGCATACAACGAAGAAGCACGCCTTAGAGACCGTCTGCCGGCCGACTTTTGTATGATGTATTAGGCCGCGGCCACGCGTGCTATTGATAATATCAGCATCATACAAACATGAAGATGCCGTGCCTGCGGCTTAAGAGTTTCGCTTCAGTTACCAGTCAGCTGCAGTTCAACCTTGGTTATATGTATACGGCCGCTGCTGCGTGGGACAATTTTTAAGCGTGAAAATGCCGGGCGACAAAACTTTCACTTCACAAATACGCGAAGATGAATTGAGGCGGCTAACAGGGAAGGGCGACATTTTCCCGTGGAAAATTTCTGGAAACCTCCAACTTTTGAAGATGACAACAGTTTGTTCTAAAACGCTGCGGTTCGGGAACCGTTGGCTCTACATTTGAGAGTGGAGCGTTCGGCGGCGATTAAGTTATTCTTGCAACCAAATAATAAAAAAGAAAACTTTTTTTTTTTTGAGCGGTGTTTGGTGCGTATATTCGACGTCAACTATTATGTGCTAGGCGTTAGGGTTGTAGAGTAGCGTCCGCAGTGCTGCAGCCTCCCACCGCTGCAAGAGCACCTGCAGGTGACTTCTTGCCTTCAGACGCACCCTCTCGCGCAAGTAGCTCTGTGTGTTTACACCTTCTCCGTCCGTGTCGTTTTTCGCTTCGTTTTTTTTTTTTTTTCTTTTTTTTACACTTTTTACAACACTAGACCAACTAGCCCAACTTACCGCTCTGAGAGGGTTGGACTACTACGGAAGCCACGTTAATCTCGACAGCGTAGCCCGAAATAATTGACGCCGAGAAAGTGTAGTGTGTACACTGTACACTGAACGACAGTGTTAGTGCAAACATGTAATCGCTGTTGCTTTTTTTTTTTTTCTTCTGACGTTCAATATCCGCCATCAAAGCTACATACTCCTGTTCACATAAAAAACCGTAGTAAAAAAAAAAAAAAAAAAAGCCCGGGTATTTATGGAACATTACTAATTTCTCTCTACAGGTATAAAACTTTGACCGCGAGTGCGCACCCGAGGCTCGCGAGGCAACCGAAACCATTCCCTGCCGTTCTTATTCTGTTAGCGACTGTAAGCTAAGCTGCAGAATTCGGTGCCTGACCCTCTAGGAATAAAATTTAAAAAAGAAATGGCTGACGTCGTGTTCGCGCTAACAGTGTCGCTCAGTGTAAAAAATCGGTATAATTTTAGTCTATCGCGCTTTTTTTTTGTCACTTTCTTTCTCCTCTTTCTATTTTTTTTTTTTTTTGTCAAGGCCATGTAGTGTGTTTTGATTCGGTTGTTTTTTGTTTTGTTTTTCTTTTTTTTATTGTTCTCGGTTGCAGCTTTATTTCAAAATTCGCGCAACTGTCGTCACGAGGAAGTGGCGTTTGCACAACGCGGCGACAGGGGCTGGAACCCCGGGGGCTCGAGCCCCGAGGAGGAAACGCGGCGCGAACGCCTGCCAGAACAGAGAGGGTTGCGCAAGGTTCGGCGCGAGACGCGCAATCCCGCCGCTTGCGCAAGCGAAGGCCGTCGTCGTCGGAGTCGTCAGCTGTTTCCGCGCCCTCGCATCTCGTCCCAGTGGCAAAACTTGGCGGCGTGGCGTAAGGCCGGCCTATCTCGCGCCGCGTATATAAGGAAAGCGAGTGTTGCGACACTATTTTGGTTTTGCGTCTCGGACGTCCGTCCCTGCGGGAGATCGGACGGAAGAAACACGAGGAAATGTCTGCGTGTCTGTCTGTGTGCGTGCGTGCGTGTGTATGTGCGCGCGCCTTTTACACACACGAGCGAGTATGTGTACGTTCGTGTGTCTGTGTGTGTGTCTGTATTTTTTTTGTTTTGTCGGCCTCGTGTGATGTGCGTGCGTGCGTGCGAGTATGTGTACGTTCGTGGTGTGTCTGTGTGTGTGTCTGTCTTTTTTTTTTTTTGTTTTGTCGGCCTCGTGTGAACCCGGTTGTGAGTATAGGTTGCGCCACGGTCTATTTGGTATTCTGGCGAAGCGCTAAAAAGCTAGAACGCATCTCTGAGAAAAGAAAGAAAAGGAAGGACAATCCGGGAACAATTACACGTGCGTTATTACTATTTTTGAAAGACGTTCTCAGTTGGTTGCGTCAAAAGCATTTCTGCAATTTCTATACAGAAATTAACCACGTGTAATCCTGCTTAAAAAAAAAAAAAAAATCATGCTGTAGAACATCTTTTTGTGTGTGTGTGTGTGCGGGCGCGTGTGTTACGAATTTCGTGCGATTTTTTGTTGGTGTCTTTAGCCTTGACTGTAAAATCCTACAGAATCCCCATTAAATAAAAAAAAAATTACATTTCAGAGCGACAACATTTCGGCCATCTTGGGACCTAAAATCGTCCTGTCCAATTATTCGAGGCTCTACCTGAAATCACGGGAAACGTCTTTCCCCCCAGAAAGGTTGAAACAGTCCGCGACAGAGCACAACGGATATCACCCAAGCCTCACGACCTTCCTCATCCAAAGATGAGGAAGGTGTATTTTGGTATCGCAACGATCAAAAATAGACGACTTCCAAAACTCGAAGCACCTCATCGCGGCGTAATGCCACGTTACGCATTGTGGGAATCAGTTGGCAGCAAAATCCATACTGATCTCTCCACGGTTCCTGGCCTGCAAATTCCCAGAATGCAACGTGCGCGGTGACGAATTTCTGGAAGTAGTCTATTGTGCTCGCTCTGCACTAAGAACCAAAATGGCGGCGCACACACACACACACACACACACAAAAAAGGGAATGAAGTTGCGTTACTTTTAGCCTGAATATTTTGTGACCTTCCTATGGCGTGTTGGCAACGAATTCAAAGACTAGGTGGGCACGCGCCAAGTAATGCATGGTAACTTGGAAGTCAAACACTACCGCTTGAGTGGGCCATTAAACCATCCAAGAAAATGTTTTCGCTAAGTCTGCGTTTTTGGCGCTTTCTTCTCTTCCCCGCAGGGTCGGCTTTCCTGTGATGCTACTGACGACTGCTATTGCATCGTTTTGGTTGCTCTTCTGTCACGTTTTGCTGCAGTGGAACTCATAGATGCAAGAAGAAGGAAAGAAAGACACCTTACGTTTGTTGTTTTGTTGAGAAAAAACAAAAAAAGAAAACACTTTTTATACACAATATCGCACACAATTTGCTGAGCCGCTTGATGTTATCTCCGTTGTGAATCCAACGAGACAGCCGTTGTCGCCGCTGCAGCTCTTCCGCTGCTGTAAGATCTGTACAGTCTGTACACACGTAAAAAAGAATAAGCACCACCAGGATACGTCAGTGCTCGTAGATCAAGTACCGACGCAGTGCTCCGGGCAGCACGTCTAGCGAGAGCGCCTTCTTGGCCAACTGAGGACCGACTCCCAGGATCTTCCGGATGCCGAGTCTCGCCTGGTGCTTGAGCGGCTGAGGTGTCGCCGCCAATTCTACGAGGGCTTCCTTGGCTTCGGGACCCAGTAAGAGCAAAGACCTCTCCACGGCAGGTCTGTAACAGGTCTCCGCGGCTTCAAGCACGGTGTCCAAAGCGTCCCCCCGTAGCCGGTGAACCGACCGCAGGATCCCCAAAGGATCCTTGGACTGCGGCCGGAGGATCACTCTCGCGCCGTACCTCAGGAGTAGCCGGATCAGCGAGCTCTTGGGTTCTTCCTCCTGTCCGCAGAGGTACTCTCCCAGCGGCGGCTGAACCAGGGGCGACCCCCCTGGTTCGGCGTACGTCAGACCGTTGGGGTCCGCGCCGCGTTCCAGAAGCAGACGTACCAGGGCCTCCCGGTCCTTGCAGCGTTCCGAGAGAGCCAGATGGAGGGGAGAGCCCACGATCGGAGATCCGGCGTTCACGTCAGCCCCGGCGTCCAGGAGTAGTCGAACGGCCGCCATGTCTCCGCGGAGGATGGCGAAGTCCAGCGGACTCGGATGCCTGTACCCGGGAGCCATTCTTGCCTTCGCGCCGTTGTCGATGAGAAGCTTGACCGTTGACAGGTTTCCCGAGAGTACGGCGTAGTGGAGCACGGTCCGGCGGTCGTGTCGGTCCGGCGCCATGGCGTTGACGTCCGCACCGTGCTTCAGCAGGAGCTGAACCGTCTCGAGTCCGTGCGGATGTCTGGCGGCCTTCATGAGGGGCGTCAGGCCTCCCCGATCTCGGGCGTCCGGTTCCGCGCCATACCGCAGCAGGAGTTCGATGAACCTCACGTTCAACGGGCCCACCAGGTTGATTTCGGCGCCGAGGAAGTACCTCGCGTTGGGGTTGGCGCCGTGACGCAGCAACATGTCGGCGCACTCGTAGTGCCCGTTCTTGACGGCGAGCCTGAGCGGTTCGTCGGCGAGCGTGGCCCTCGGAGGGTTGCCGAGAAGCGGCTTTGTCTGCGCCGTGAAGCACACCCGGGCGTTACCCTGGCACACTAGCGTCTCGGCCGTGTGCAGAAAGCCGCGCTCGGCGCACAGGTGCAGCGCCGTGTATCCCACGTCGTCCATCGCGTCCACGTCGCAGCCTCGTACCAGGAGCAGCTGGACGGCCTCGTCATACTGCTGGTAAGCCGCGTAGTGCAGGGGTCGCAGTCCCTGCGTCACGGGCTCGTTGACTCGTGCACCGCACGCCAGCAGGATCCTCAGTTCGTCTAGGGGGGCTAGCCGGATGATGGAGTCTGCCAGCTCCCGCTGAAGAGTTTGGAGACAGGGTGCCGTCGGCATGGCGAAGACTCCAGGTGGGGTCCCTCGGGCTGTGTCCTTTGTGCGTGCACCGCGCGCACACGCTGTAGCTCGACTGAAGTGGCCGCCCCGCAACAACGCCGGCAAAGCTCTGCTCTCCGTTATTTCGGGACGGCGGCGTCTTTTAGCTTCTCTTTTAAAAGCTCTCCTCTCACGTGGTTACTGTTGCCGCCGCAACAGCGGCGGGAGCGCGCGCCTGGAGACGCTTCCGGTGAGCCAATCGTCCTGGCGAACGCACGCTCTTGACCGCACGCTGCTCGGTTCGGTCCCGTGGGCACGGGGCGGCAACCTTGGGCCCTGGAAATAGCTAGGATCCCCCGATGCCTCTCCTCCCTCCTGGCTGGTGTCCCATCCCTGTCCGTCGCCTTCCCATCCCCCCCCCCCCCCCCCCTTTCCAGCCTTGTTTTTGTTTTGTGTGTCGTCTTTTCTTTCGTCAGCACGAAGCACGTGAGAATCTCCTGCACGTGATCGTTCGCGGAAGAAGCGCGAGATCGGAGGAACGGGTTGGGGAGGGTCATTCTCCTCCTGCCAGCGGTTCTTTAGAAGAACGGGTCCTATGAGACCGCCGCGGTGATAGTTATTTCTGGTGTTCCGGAACGTAGTACATACAAACACATTGTCTCCTCCTACCCTCTGATATTGTCTCGAGGGGTGCCCGTCGCGTGACCGCCGGCGGTCGCTATAGGGAGTATTCACTGGCGGCCATAGCTGTGTGCGCGAATGCTGAGCGCGAGCTGATGGCGAGCTTCCACAGTTCTTTTGCAACGTGCATTCCGCACCCTCAAAAGTGGCGATCTTAGCAGCCTATTGATGTGCCGATGTGCGCATCCCGATGCTTACGTGACACTCGCACTGCTTTGGATTGGCTCAACCTATTCATTTATTTATTGAAATACCCTAAAGGTCGCTTAAAGGGGTATTCACACGAGGGAGAAATCCCGGGGATTTCTCCCTCGTGTGAATACCCCTTTAAGGAGGACATTACATAAGACGAAAAAACAAACATTTCGAGAGGGAAAAAAAAGAAGCTAAAAACAAGAATTTAATTCCCCAAAAAAAATATTTTCAACCAAATCAACCGAAGCAAACAAATGCTAATCAATCGAATTACTCAGAACCACCAAATCAGAAACAAGCTTCTATCGAGCACAAATCGTACACGATCCCTAAATCACTAGAAATCAGAGCGCTAAGGTTTTCGGGGTTGGATGGCGTTACTACGCGCGTGCTCGTCGTTGCGTCCCTTCTGATGGTCACGTGCCATCAACGCTGCTTTTGGATTGGTTCCGGTGGCTCGTAGCGTCAGCTACGGTCCGGCATAAGGTGAAACGGAGTATAGTTGCTGTAGCCTATACTACACCACCGGTCGTCGTCGTCGTCGCGCAAACCTGACTGTCGACATATGGGCACTTTGTAACTGCGTCAGCGGCAGGGCACAATTCACGCGTTTATTTTTTTTTCTTTTGTTGTTGTTGTTGTTGTTTCTTTTCTCGTCCCGTGCCAGCCTCGAAGTTTGGAAAGCCGGCAATCGGCAACTTGGAAACGGCACATAGGGATCGGCGTTGCTACATGCGACGCCCGCTTCGCGGAAATGCGGGCGCGGCTTCGCGGAATTTCCAGATTGCTGCGTCTTCCGAGTTATCCTGTCTCGATCTCCGAATGCGAAATTCACGGAGGACACACACTTTGGGGACGCAGTCGCGCCGCATGTACGCCATACACAAAGGGCACGCCGTTTGGCTGCGGACACGCAGCGACAGAATCGTCTTCGGACACGCCTCCGGCAAGTTCGAAGCGCGTTTGGTTCATAACGTATCGGAAGTCTCTGCAAACAGTACGAAGCTTTAGGGAACCGTTGTTTGCAAGTCCGATACGGTACGTATGGGCCCTCTGGTACAAACTGCGCATGTGCGAGGTTTTTGCGTTAGCACATGCGCAGTTCATACCGATATACCCATTGTGCCGTATCGCATGTGCAAAAATGGTTCCCTAAAACTCCCTAGGGTCTGCAATGCTGTTCAGCGGTTGACGTTACGTCAGAACTTCAGAATGGCACAGCTGTGACGACATCGCTTGGAAGTCCGAAGGGGGCAGAAAGCGAAGTCACAGCAGAAACTCCAGTTGAAGATGAAGGTACGATGGGTATATAGTTTGACATGATAAACGGCGAATAAAAAGGGCGTCTGGCATAAAATGATTATGAACTTAATCGGTCATCACGTTATGTTTACCGCTGTGTTGATACACGCATTTTTATCCATAGCCTCCGATATCGACGGTACTCGGAGAAGCTTTGTTCATCGGTGATCTCCAAGGCCACGCTTCGCGATGCACTCTTTGCGATCGGGTAAGTCGAAGGAAACGGAAGATACGAGACATCTTCAGCTTTCACGATAACCGCGGTGAGTATTTTACTATATATAAAAATATTAGTATCGGGGTAATGTGTACCAACACGAAGAGAGAACCTACGCAAAAGATGCGCGCGCAGCCCGCAGTCGTGCTGCGGAGAAGCCACACGTGCGGCGACGCCGCCGTGGATTTTGCTTCGCTGTAGCACACCAGTGCCTAGGGTGAAGTGTCATTCAACGAAGCAAAAGCAGTTCATCGGAACATATTTTGTGAAATCAAAAATTAGACGAAAAATTGTTCAATATGTTAATGGACACCTTGAAGTTTTTGTTTCCAAGAAGAATCGTGGCACGCGTTTGAAGTACTGCAGTTTTCTGTTACCATCCGAGTGAAGTAGAATGCCTCAGAATCCCGTCATAGCTAAATTTGATTCGCAACATTATACTAGAAAATATCCGAAGAAACGTTGAGATCGACATCCAACTTCGACGTAGTGTTCCATTTAGCTTTCGTCTAGGCAGAGTTTGAAAACAGTATAAGTAAGCAAGAAAAAAAAATTTTTTTTTATGACACCTATTTATTTCGTACGTTATAATTACCGTTATTATTGCTAACACTGAGCCACCTTACTAAGGTGTACGGTAGGGTTCCCACTACAAGTAATCCTATGCCGAGCGAAAGTTCGTATGCTTCTTGCGCTGGGGTTTCGGAGACGTCAGACCTCCGAGCTCTCATTGGGCGCGTTCAGTAGCGGCCCCGGAGTCAAGGAGTCACTGACTCCTTCCACTGGACGGCCAAAAGTCACTTCCGGTGCACGTAACTCCGGGGCTTCGGAGTCAAGCTCCGAAGCACCGAGTCCGGAGACGGTGCACGTAGAGTCAAAGGAGCTAAAATGACGTCATTTCCTAACTAGTGACGATTTCCGGCGCTAAAACAAGAAAAAAACAAACAAAATGGCGGGATAAGGCTTCGGTTCTGTCGTAGGTGTGCGGTTTGCTCGCTTTTGCTAATGAAAAGTGCTAAAGGTAAGACGAATAACGCGTTCGAATTTCTCTTTGAGGTAAGGCGCCTTCGGGAAATGCATTGGACTGTATTTTGTGTCGTTTGAATATGCTAATAAACAACGTAAACGTTCATTTGACGCCGTGTCTTGATCGCCGTTGCACGGAAACTCGGTGAATATCGACGATAGCCCTCTCCGCGCTGAACAGAGCAAGGCAGGGTATGAACGCGAATTCGGTAGCTGGTTGGACACTCACGCATAGCATGATCCCGATTGATGTTTTGTTTGCGTAGCTAAATCGGGGTGCGCGTTGGCCGACGCTCGCTTCGACCGACAAAACCTTGATCGCCGAGCACGGCCGAACTTCCCGTGTGTATACGAATACATTTTATAGGAAGTTCGTTACGAGGGGCATAACAAACGTACGACCGTATAAACGTGTCGCAACCGGCGGCGTAGATTCGCCGAGCTCTATATTTTGCGTCTGCTGACGACGTTTTTGTTGGTTTTTATAGCAGTAGCTGCCTTTGCACTGCCAAGCTAAGGGCTCGATCGCGTTGCATCGCTTCGAACAGCAGCGCTGATGTGTACAGTCACTCGCTTTTTCTTCAACGACCTTGTCAAGACGTCTTCAATACCGGCGTCAAATAAAAGCGATCGTGCTCGCCATCGTCTGCTTCCAGTTTATTCGGAGACCGGCTGGCACAGGGGAGGAAGCGGAAATTGCGTAGAAGCAGGTTTGGAGCCGCGGCGTTTTTTTGCCGTTCAGTAGGCGCTCCGATGACTCCGACTCGAACCACTCCGTTCGGGGGCAAGGGAGGCGCTACTGAACGCGCCCATTGCTTCCGATTGGAAGGAGTGAGTAGCAGACGAAATTGTGCTCCGCATTACTTGTAATCGATTGCTTTTTGGAGTGATTTTGAAATCATTTGAATACATTTATAAGGAACTAATCGCAAGAGTAACCTGATTACTTTTTAAAGTACTAAAATTGCTTTTAACCGCTACTATGTTTCCCTCCCCGTCCTTTGTACGAGTTTACTGCCGAGGAATCCTCGAACCTAGTCCTCGGCAGGAGGATGGTTTTTCAAAATTGGTGGATCAAGGTGATAGGTAGTTTATAAATATGTGGTTTTAATCCAATAATGGGCAGTCTTAAATTACCTTCTGTCAAACCGGCAGAAAATTTTGTCATTTTGAAAAATAGAAGTAATCGGAAAAGTAACGATTATTATTTTTTTTCATATAACTGTCAGTTCTTTTTTTCTCTTGAATAACTAAGTAATACAATTGAATACTTTTAAGTGAGAATAATTGTAACTGTAATCGATTACTTTTTTTTCTTTTTTTCTTTTTTCGAGTAACGCGTGCAAGATTGCACCCTAGCTTCAATTTAAACGAGTTCCGGCGCGTTCAAGTACGAGCGTGTGGATCGCCGAACACAGCTGAATCCTTCGAAGAGGGCGGCGGCTCGCGCCACCTATACACCTTTCCAAAAAACACTCGACCCCAGGGGCAACAAACCGTTTTCGAGCCCAGTCACTGAGTTTGAGGCTAGACTCGCACCGGCGTCCCTCCTAACCCTAACCGAGTGGACTGTGATTTCAGTAGGCGCAGCCTGCGTAGGCGCAGTTTCAAACGCTGCTGGCGGCTAAATTCTCGTTTTTTCCCGCTATATTTTGTGTTTCACGGTACATGTATTTTCCCGAGGACATTGAGAAAGCATTGTGCCACATATAAAAAAAAAAAAGTAAAAAAAAAACAATCTAAACTATTTTTGTTGGGTTTACGCTCGACAGAACGAATGCGACTGGAATGAATAGTTCTAGTTATTTGTTTTTTTTTTCTTACGATAACTTTAGTCGGCGCCGTGGGATTCGCCGCATGTAAAATGACAAAGCACTTTGCTGTCAAAAATAAATTGCAACAGGAACAGGGCCGAAAGGCATGCATTTTTCACGCTCACAAATAACGTGTTAACCGATGGACAGGACACGGACATACGATTGAGGAAGTGTTAACATTCGAACAATATATCATACGTACCACACGATGCAGCGTTATCCGAAAAGAATTTATTTGAGAAAGATCTCAAATAACGCAGTCACAGTCGACGACAGTCACATCTTGACGATCGGACGGAATCCGAGATGACTTCGTTTTGGGGCACGTTTTGGGGAGAGTTTCCTTTTTTCACAACCACACCAAGGCAAAGAAACAAACGCGACTGACCCGTTTCCCACCCCGACCCGGACAACTATTTTCGGAGAGGACTGAGGATTCTACGCGGATTATCTGTAAGAGAGGGGAGAACAATGTTCGGGCAAAATCGCGTCGAGGGTCGTTCGACGTCCTCCACCTCCTTCGTTTCCCGTAAATGTCAAGTAGAAAAGCTTGAATGGCAGGCACTTACCAGCCTTATTTCTCAGAATGGAAGATAACACAGAAAGGGTACGCAGCACGCATAAAAAAAATTAAGTGGAAACTTGCTCGAGGGGCGAGAAAACGTCGAATGCAAAACCGCAAAAACGTTGGTAGAGAACCGCGCTGAGTGGTTCTTCACAGTCCCAGAGAGTGGCAGAAACTTTCTAGCTGATAGAGGGCGCGAGAGTCGCACCAACCGCATCAGCATCAGCAACATGGCGGCGGCCTAGGAGCGGTTTTTGGAAAGGTGTATAGCTCGGAGCAAACGTGGCGCCATCTGTCGCTTAGCGAAAGAAACAATTTTCACGCGTTCCCGACCGCGGCCAGATGGCGACAGTGCTGCGAGCTCCCTCCACTATCCGCAGCTTTGCTACTGTGGCGCAGCAGCGCTGGCGGCGTGCGCAGTGATTCCGTATGTGTGTGTGATCGTGTCCTCCACTTGGCCCGTGGTGCGTCGGCGCTGAGCTGCTGTATCTGCGAACCCCCCCGAGAAACCCGCCGGCGGAGCCTGTGACTTGTTTTTCGTGCCGTTGGTGTGCCGTTTGTTCGCGAGCTGGCCACACATACCCGACGTGGACGACCTTTCGAACCTACCTAAGGATGTAGACTGCCTCAGGATTAAGAAGACGAAAGGACAAACACACCGTCGTCGTCGTCGAGCCGGATTTAGGTGAGCCATCTCACTCTAATCGGCGACTAAAAAAACAAAAAGGAGATAGAAACAACTTTGAAAACTCGGATTATTCGTCGAACTGATCGACGTAGCCTCGATCCGCATGGTTAAGGAACGAAGTGACGAACAACAGGGATAAGAATTGTCTCACGGTAGAATATTCGTATTATATTATTTTATTTGTGTGTGTGGTGTGAAGCAGGATGAATGATATGGATACATCGTTCGGTGACGTCGTTCTAGCCCTCCCACGTCACAATCCCGCTACGAAGAGTTGTGATTTATTCGGTAACGAGCAAGGTCGTGTTGGTTTCTGTCGGTGTCGCGGAATACGACCCCGTCCGAAAGAAGAAAAAAAAGAAAGGGAAAAGGAAAAAAAAAATAAAGGCGCTCGTATCTACAAGCTTGCGGACGAAGTAACCCTATTCGAAGAGCAAGAAACAGACCTCCCGCTGCCGTAGCTGCGTATGCTGTGCTGTTTTTATTTTTATTTTGATCGCGCGGTCTTCGGAGCCGGCAGTAGTTGGCGTTCGGTCGCCAGTGTTGAACGGCGGTGCTGGCTTCCTGCAGCGTGAACTACGTCATTGGCAGTGACGACCGCCTCCCCCCACCCCGCGCCGGCCTGCCTGTTGACTTCGGCGCGGCGGCGGCGAGCGCGGAGAGGAAAAAATAAAACATGGCGTATTTTGTGAACTGCGCGCTGAGCGCCGTGGATTTTTTTGTTTCGTTTTTATCTGCGATGCGCTGGTGGTAATGCTCGCTAAAACAGAAGAAAAAAAAAACGAAACAAAAACGATCTGTTATTTTAGTTTGGTTGCGCTAGAAGAGCTGGCCAATTCCACAACTCTCTACTCCTTGAATTTGATCGGTTCGATGTGTTTCTTTACTAGAAGAGGCCGACTCAATCGTACACGGTGTTTGGGACCCCGGGTTGGGGGGTGGGGATGGTGGTGATGAGGATGATGATGATGATCATCATCATCACGCTAATTCCTCTCGTTATGATATCCACTGGTGTGGATCGTTTCGATTCGGGCTTGCGTTTGGATAGCTAGCACTTATCGCCGGTTCTCGAACCCATCTCGATAACCTTAATTGTTTGTCTGTCGTTCGATAAAACTCTCTCCCTGAACTAATTCCGCTTGTCTATTAACTCGGAATCCTTAACTGCAGGCTTACTGTAAAACGACCTCTTTTTTTTTTTTTTTTTTTAATACATCTATTTTGAAGTTTTTTTTATTTTGTTTGTTTCTTTTTGGGGTATGCCGGATTGGTGTCTGTACAGTAACGTTATTACTAATAACGGTCAACAAAAATAATGATAATAATAATAATTAAAAAAAAGAGAGGGGGGGTGGCTAGGCTAGGTAGTCTATCCGATATCTGCAAGGCGTCAGTAAATAGGTCTAGGGGGAGGGCAGAGCGAGATGAAAGAAAAAGTGCCAGCCGAGGGTTTTGACCTTGACCCCCTAAATACCGGTCGCCGCCGGCTTTTGCTCGATGCTCGACGCGCCAGGTCTCGCCAAGGTCGTACACGTCGCGGCGCTCTCTGCTCTTGGTCATTCCGTTCGCCGATTGCGATCAATTTCGCCGATCGAAAATGCCCGTAAGCGCCGCGGCGTACCTCGAGAAAAAAGAAAGAAACAAATCTCGGATCGCTTTTAAAGGTTTCTGGACCACGGGTACGACACCTGGAATGCGCGCCCTCAACTGGCAATGGTCCCGAAACGGCAACACTAATTGCGTCATTGGAGCCGGCTGTGGCGGTTGGGCGCAGAAACGACGGCGAAAAAGGTCGAGCAGGAGAACGCGAGGCTCGCTGTGTGTGAGTCGCGGCGTCCCAACTCGAGTCTCGCTTTGGTTTTTCCCGTCCGGTTGCAGAGCGACTCGTAGCAGAACATTTGCCTGCCTTCTCCGCTCTGTCACCACCAGGATCGCTGTCTGCAACTGTTTGTACAACTGTCAGGGGGCGGAAGTCGAGGGACAACTTTTGGGGACGCGCTGAACACGCCGGTCGGAGACGCCCTCCAGGGCGCAAGTTCGTCTGCTTCTTGCTCGGGGGTTGCGATGGTGTCAGAACGCCAAGCTCTTATTGGCTGATTGGGGAAAAACAAATAGTGGGTAGACCTCGAGGCATCTAGCATTGAGGTCTACCCACTATCTTTGCAATCAAAGCCAATCGGAGCTCAGTGTCGTTCTGACGTCAACGCAGCTCCTGCTCGAGGAGCAGACGACTTGCTCCCCGCATTACCGCGTCCTCAAACGTGGTCCCTTCGTGTACGCCGCGTGACATCACAGAAGTGTTCATCATGTCGCCGCGACCGTGGCGGTGTCGCAGTAGTGGTGGTGGATGTGGCATGCACCTGTTCTGCAGCAGGTTGCTCTCCTCCAGCTTGCTTGGCAGTCCACGGAGCGGCTTTAGCAGCCCGGATTTGGCACGCCCCGACGACATGTCAATACCCGCGTTCGCTCGTGCTATTTGCCGGGACTTCCAGCACCAACCGCCAGGATCGCGACAGTCCGACAGTGTGGCGCGGCGGCATCTGTGAGTGACGTGATTTGTCGTCGCTTCGGGGCCGATTCTGAGGTACGGGAGGAAATAGAGCTAGGACACTAAACACGCAAGTCGGAGGCGGGAATTCCAGGCACCGGGTCCACTGGGGTCACTAAATCAGGGTCCGTGCAACTGCGCAACCGCTCTGCCCCGGTATCACGTGGTTCAATTTCGCCATTTTGGTCTGTCTGGCAACTATGAGGCAGTGTTATCCGCCTGGTGACGGTTACAAAATTGCGGAGGGGGAGCAATCGGTAAAGGAAGAAAATCATACTTTTGTTCTTTAATTTCTAGGCTATGGTGGGGGAAGCTGGCGCCCGTTATGAAGGGTACAGCTGTTAGCATCCATCCATCCGTCACATTAACAGTTCCTCGGTCACGAGGCAGCAAATCAATCTTTGGGCGGCCAGCAATAGGCAATCGTGTGTACTAGGGTGCCTTCATGTGCGCTTTGCTTAGGGTGGAGACATCTGGCCATTTTGTCCCACACGGTTATTTTTATTTTTGTTCAAAAGCGTGTCTTTGCACGCGTGTGCGGCGCTGACTGTGCTATGGCGACATTTTGTTTTCGTCGATTTTTTTGTATTTTCCCCGTGAGCGCGTGCTGTCGGCATCGGGTACTACAAAGGGTGGCATCGCCCTAAACAGAAGGACATTGAGGCACCCTAGTGTGTACAGTGGCTAGCGAAACGAGCTAGAAGGCGCGAACGGCGACCAGGCAGTACAGACCACGTGATCTAGCAGGCAGCGAGTGGAGGGTCAGAACGACAGTGGAGGTGTTCAAATATGTCTATGCTCACCCCCCTCCCCCTCGACGCAGGCGTGGTAGCCGTACGACAGCGTGGTCTGTTCTGCCTGGTCGCAGTTTGCGCGTGCATTCTAGCTCATGTCGCTAGCCACTGTACATACTGACGCTCTCATCTTACCAGAGTGTCCTCGTGTGGCATTTTGCGTGGCAGCAACACCGTTACGGCTTGGAACGCGCGAGTATACGGATGTCGCGGAACGGCGCTCGGGATGTGGTGTACGTTTTTGTGCTGCTTTCACTTCACCAGCTGGGTACCACTTATTTCGGGAAAGTCATCTATCTCTCTTGATAAGACATCCTCCTACTTCCTCCGTCTCTCACAATCCTACTTAGAAGCTACCACTCTCTTGTCTATTAGTAGCTGGGAGACACAGACGGCTCCCTCTCTCCCAATCCTGAGAGTTTTCCTCCGTGGATTTATTGCATTGAATTTCTTTTAGTTGGAAGTGTTGAAGCTACGAGTTCCGGTGTGTTTGGTACCTTTCAGACGTAGTTTTATTAGTGCATCGGAGATGAGCGCAATCGAAACTTCGTGCCGATAAACCGTCTATCGCAACATCCGCCCGCCAGTTTATCGGCTCTTTTCGCCGCTTTCCCCGAATTGTTGTTCTGTGCGGCTGTCACTATCACGAGATGGTAAACAACGATTGTTTCAGCAACGATCTTATCTTTTAAAACTCGCACTTAGACTTGCAGCACGACGCGAACGGCGACTTCGATAGCCCCCGACCATGCTTTTGCTCACTTACATCGATGTTCGAGTACCTGCGCGCTTTAGTGAGCAGGCGGTTTATGTGACGGTCTTGAACAATCACCAGCCAAATAACCCGTGAACTAAGAAAAAAAATAGTTTGTGTTACGTGTTAGCTTGGACTGAATAATGGGATCTTTTGACGTGGAAGTGAACCTGGGGATCTGCATGCCAGTGGGCACTATGCCTGAAATATCGTAAAGCCACAATCTTTCCACTTCTTTTGTTTGCGACACGTTGAAGCAAGACACGAAACATAGCATGAAGCCATTGGTACCATCCTCTCGATTTTATTGCTCGCCCGTGTCGTCATGCGCGATAACGTATCTATATCGGTGTGTGTCCCAGAAATTTCGCGAGATTGGGAGAAAGTTGGACACAAAACTTGCTTGCTTTTATATACCTTATCGCCAGGGTTCTCGAATCTGAAGAATCCTTTTCACGTCCGCGTCTGAAACATCATCTCCGGGCGAGTATCATTCGCGGTGGGATCGCCGCAATACACAGGCCTAGGTTGTCCCAATCGCGAAATCTCGGCTCGTCGTCGAAAGCGCGGCGCTTGCCTTTCTGCCATGGCACGAGCGTCACAATCCTTGTTTCCTCCTATTCCGTTTGCTTTTCTTCGTCATTACCGACAGGTCATTGCCTCTTTAGGTGGTACTGTTTCCCTCTCCCTACCATTGACCTTCGCAGAGGCTCGTCAACGCCCGCTTCAGTGGCCCGGAATCTCATATACATTAAAAAAAAAAAAAAAAAAAAAGTATCACTTTATACTTCCTTGTTCTATATAATGCACCCCAAAATTTCAAATTGACGTACAGCGCCCTATAGTCGAACAGACGGCCCCAAACTTTACGAGGGGCTTGAGAGCCGTGTGGTACAAC